CAGCTGGTTTTGGTTGTCAGCAGCAAACTGGTTGATCCACTCTGAGAAGGTGCTATTTAAGAGACTGAGCTGAATACAGCACCTCAGACTGAGGAAGTCTCTCGGATGAGAGACGAAACGTTTCTACTTTTTTTTTTTGTTTTGTTTTTTGAATGTCCATAGGACCAGATTTAACTTTTTTTTTTTTTAGATTTTTCTACCTGGATTATTGAGCATGCATCAGGTTAGTTTTCATTTCTTTTCTTTTTTCTTTAATTTTTTTCCGTAGCTTTTCTAATGCACACCATTAATTTAAGCTTTCTGAAACGGCTTTTATTTTGCAGCCACATTTTTTTTTCCTGATTACATGGTTTTAGGGACAAGTTGCTTTTTATATCAATGTTGAATTGGTTGGTTAAAAAATAAGCTCAAAAGATTGTCTGTAATTTGAATATATTTCAACCAAAGCATATGACCGGCATTTTACAAAACCCTCAGGTGATCAGTTTGTGAATTTATTTTATTTATGTATTTATGCATGTATGCTGTGATTTTTTTGTCTGAAATATCTTAAACAAAATAAATGTAAAGAACTAAACCTTAGGCCTTCTAAATATTTACAAAAATATGTGCAATGTTGAAACCGTCCTTTAGTCGGAGAATGAAGTTCTATACAATTTATTGTGAGAGTTATTCTATTGTTGCAGTAGAAGTATTAAAGCATCACATTGTTCTTTCAATGTCCAGGTGCTGTCACCGTTGAACATGCAGTCACGGTTCTCAGCCCTGCTGTGGCTTGAAGAGCTTCATGCAGAAAATGAAATGAGAGAATTTGCAATCAGTGGAGCGTTCCTCAGGAAAGGAGCTGCCCATCTGCACCTCGAAGTGCTCGGATTGGCTGAAGGCAGACCTAACCTTAACATCGGTAAAGTTGCCCGAGGCGTTTCTCCTGAGTTCAACTTTATATGTAAAATTTTTCAGAGCACAAAGTTCATCAAACTTTTCTCGACAGGCGACAGAGTAGTACTGAAGAAACCAGAAAGTGATGGGTTGATGATGGAGTGCATTAGTTATATTACAGAGGTATGAAGCTTTGATCACTGGGAGCATCTTTTCAGTTACATTGTCTTTTTGAACATAAATGTATTTTTCTTTGTCACTGATACGCAGATTAACGATGAGGACGTGAGTTTAAGAGTAAATTCAGACTTTCATCAGAGCTACGTCGGTGAGCCACTTCATGTTGAGTTCAGCTACAACAGGTGAGAGGGAGAATGGTTCTTTGATTAACATAAGAGTGTTTATGATTGGCTGAAGATGTTGTTAAATATTGTTGTTGCTTTCATCATCAGGTTGACGATGAGACGATGTCACCATGCACTGCAGCAGACGAAACACTTTGGAGAGGGTATGTTTTTTTTAAAAGTATTTTAGGGGTACAATTACAAAACAGATTTTTTTTTGCTGTAAATTGTCTTTCAGCTTTTCCTTCTTCAGGTGTCTCCACAGTGAGTCATCCTCCTCCATCTCACTCTGTCCTCACTCCAGCTACCTCCACGTCCTCTCGAACTGCATCCATACCTGTATATCTCTTTGTCTTTTTCTTGGCAGCTGCATTTCTAACATCCTTCTATACCCACTGTCCCTCCTCTGGACATGTCCAAACCACTGTCCCTCCTCTGGACATGCCCAAACCATCTCAGTCTGGTCTCTCTAACTTTATCTCCCAGTTGTTCAACCTGTGCTGTACCTCTGATGATCTCATTCCTAATCTTATCCATCCTTGTCACTCTTAAGGAGAACCTCAACATCTTCATTTCTGCTACTTCCAGTTCTTTCTCCTGTCTTTTTGTCCATGTCTTTATCTCCAGACCATACAACATAGCTGGTCTTCTAAACTTTTCCTTTGACTTTTACTGACACCCTTTTGTCCCAAATCACTCCTGAAACGGATAGAATTATTTAATTTTTTTATGTAAATAATGTACAGTAATAACCCGACACACATTTCTGCTACAGCATCTGGTTACTTATTTTTAGATTTTTTTTCTTATATATATATATATATATATATATAGCTCCTATGGAGGGTATCAATAATGGTCTTCTTGCCAGTTGTTATGTCTGCACTCTTCCCCATATTGAACCGAACTGAGACAATTGGAACCAAAATGAAGCAATTTAATGACACCTGGGGAAACCTGTGCAGGTGCTTTGAGTGTAGTAGATGATTAGTGTGTCACACTCAGTTTAAAACATTCATGCCCTGCAACATTTGGGCTG